TTAGACACCCTCTAAGGTTGCTTTGACCACACTTGTCCTGTTCTTCATCCATGAAACGTTGGACGGTATGGGAAACTATGACTCGAGACCAGGATTTGATTCCCAGATCAGTCATGAAACCCACTGGCTGAGCATGGGCAAGTCACATTCTCTCAGCCTCAGGGGAAGGCAATGGCGAACCTCCACTGAATAAATCTTTCCAAGACAAACCCATGATATGGTTGCCATAAGTTGGAAATGACTTGAAGGCATACCACAAACACACAGACGCATGGGAGACCAGTTTTTCAACTAGGAAACTGACGATGAAGGGAAAAAAATTCTCTCCATCTACTCCCTCCACCTGCCACTGCCCACAAAATAATAATAATAATAATAATAATAATAATAATAATAATAATAATAATAATAATTTGTATTCCACTCTTTTCCCAGAACTAAGATCCAGAGCAGCTGGCAAGAACAGTACAATTAAAAACATAGAAAAGTGGTACCTTAAATTAGAATTAAATTATTGCAATGTTAAAACAGATGGCTTGTTAAAAGAATAAAATACGTTTAAAAACTGTTAAATTTTTTGGCCAAGGTGGAGGGAAAGATCTTGCAAAGCAAGAAAATAAAAACAAAACCCTTCACAGAGTCACCGGTGTTTCATTCTGCTTGTTTTTCCAGTAAGCTGGGAGAGGTCAAAGCAAGGGGGGAAATAAAAACCCTCGGCAGCTTTGGAGGTTTTGCAAGGTTCAAAAGGAGGAAGGAGATATTACATTTTGAAAATGTAAAATGTCTGATTTGCTGGGTGAGAAAAGAAGAGACAAGGAGGAAGTTTGGGCGCGTTGGTACATTGGGTGAGCAAACAGGATAGAGGCCTGGGAGGAGACTAACCACCAATTCTTTGGTGCAAAGAAAGCAGCTTGATATCTCTTCTCTGCAGAAGTTGATCCAAAGTCTCCGGCTTTGTAGATATAAGCCTTCCTTGAGTTTTAAGATCGGTCGTGGAAGGCTTGCTCTGGGTCCCACCACCATCACTGGCCCATTTGGTGACGCCGCGGAAAAGAAACCCTTCTCTGTGTCTGCTTTGAGGCTGTGGAACTCCCTGCCACAACAAATCTGCTTGGATCCCTCCCTGCTCTCCTGCTGACAGGTGAATAACTTTTTATTCAGGCAGGCCTTTGAGATCTAAATTATGTAGCATCTGTGTGTGTGTGTGTGTTGAATTAGTGTGCTGTATTTCTTCCCTTGGACAATCCCAGCTCAGCCATGGAAACTCACTGTGTGATCTTAGGCAAGTCACACTCTCTCAGCCTCAAAGCATGGCCAAGGCAAAAAAAAAACCTAAAAAAACTGCCAAGAAAACCTCGTAATAAGTCGGAAACGACTTCAAGGAA